ATTTCTCGGGCCAATGCAAATTGATCGATTTTCAGCGGTGACCGTTCATATTTCAATGTGTTCTTTGGACTCCCATTTCGCATAATTGGATGTTGAACGATGCAATGTTTCTTGTAGGTGCTGGTGCTTGTGAATGTTGCATTGCAAATATCACAAACAATGCCCGAACCATTGTGCATTCGCTTTATGTGCCAATCTCGATGCCATTTGCTCGCAAATGTTCGCTTGCAAAGTGAACACTTGGTGTCATCACCTTTATCGCCTGATGCTTTTGCCATTGATGCTGCGGCTGCGTTGGCTTGTGATGAATTCCACGACATTTTGATGAATCGATTGTTGAGCACGGCTTCGGGACTGTCGAAAGCCGCACTGGCCTCTTCATTTGTGGCAAATGTCACTTTCGAAGCACTCGGATCACCGTTGTGGGCCACTTCAACATTCAACACTTTGCCAAATTTTCCAAAATAATTACACAGTTCCAGAATTGTGTTTTCTTCCGTTGGAATGCCAACCAAATACAGAGTGCTGTTGCTCTGCGTGTTAGGAGATTTCGATGGCGATGACATTTTTCGTCTCAATTTATCTGGAATGAAATTCAAAAACAACCACAAATTAAAATGCTGAATGGTTCGGTAGTTTTTCACATAGTATTCACATCAGAGATAAATACATATATTGGAAAAACTATCACTCTTCTCATGTATTTCGTCACATTGCACAATCAATTAGGCGTTGAGTTTGTAACATCAAATCGATGGAATCGAGATGTTGTGAACCCCAAAATGAACGACAATTGTTATATTTCACAATGACAAAAGTAGCATCAATAATTACGAATGAAAATATTCACCTTTTTTCGGATTTCACTGATTTTTATTTCGAACAGTCTGAACAATATGATTGTATCTTCCTTATCGAATAATGTAAAATTTGTGTTCGGACGTATGCGGTATTGTGACAGTTCACTCTCTGTTCCACAGTTTTTTTTTATACATGTATGTATCATGCTTTTCTGCTCAAATGAAGTATCGGACAATATTGTCGCTACTCTCTCTAACGGTCGTTTATAAGCGACCGAAGCGAATTACCAACCGAAGCGCGGCGAAAATGTTTGACAATATCATTTCAACTCGTGTCAATCACGCTGCCATTTTTTCAATGAAAATTTACAATAAGTGAACTGCTTATTGTAATAACATTGTGACGTCGTATGTTATTCTTTAAAATGTGAATGTTCCTTCAACTCAAAACAAATTCTAATGCACTCTAGAGCAAACTGAATTTTGATTCAAAGAAACAGAAAGAGGTTCGTATAATTTGTTTATAACAAAGTCCGATTGCGTAGAACATTGAGTCTTAAAACGTTTGCATCATCTGAATTATTTAGAAAACACGATAAAAAAGGGTAAGAACGATGGATTCTGCTTGAATCAAAGATCTTTAGCTGAAAATTCAAGGTAATTTATATTCGATTACATCAACAGTACGCCATGACGGATACAAACATTGCAACAATGCTAAGAATCCCGCAAAAAAGTTTCCGTCTTGAAGTGGCAAACATTAGCAAATTGGATGGATTGGGCATATGCAGCAATTGCATCGTTCAAACTGCTATCATTCAATGGCACGCAAAACACTGTTGAATTTAATGCGAAGCCCTTTATCTTTGATAACACTGGCATTGATTCTGGTTGCTCAACGTTGATCGCATGGAAAGATTTGTTTGATGCTGCCAAATGATATCAATAAATCTGAGGATTGACATTGAAGTAGCTGATCCGAATGCCAGCAGAACAGAAGCCTTTTACCATTGTACAAAATCGAACAGTGCTGTGAAAGAGCTGAGTTAGCTAAATTCAAACTAGCCGTCACCAACATCAGGAATTTGATGGCAGCTCGCTCAGTGAAGTTCTTTCTGTGCGACATTCCATGGTATTTGACTGTTTGCAAGGAAAATTCCGGCCTTCTCGGTATTTATCTACAATCGCATTGTTCGGTGAAGGGATTTCTGTGCAATGTCAAAATGACAGTCGAATTGAAGTCATCGAAGACGAGTGTTGTAAGGTCAATTGATCGGGTGCGAACTCAAGAGAGACGCATTGAGTATTTGACGATGGAACGGCTTTTGCCATGGAATGAATTGCTCGATCAGCAAAATGGTTTCATTGAATCGAACACAATTGTAATGGAGGTCGAATTGCATGCGACCAAACGAAAAGATGATTGAACGACAGGAAGAGATGTGCAACGAGCACACAGACTGAAGCGAAACGTATTAAAATGGAATGTGGAATTTGTGTCAAATCATTCGAAGACCAAGAGGTATCGTGTGGGCACATGTTTTTTCTTCGTGCATCAAACAGGCCTTCAATCGGGACAATTCTTGTTCGTCGTGCAACACCTCACTCACATTGGCCCAAGTTTTCCAGGTGCATTTGACAACGTAAGTTAAATATGGATTGCTTCAAAGATCACACACGTTTCAATTGAGTTGATTAAATTTGATTGTCTTACAGTGTCGATTAGATGTGCAACCAGTGGAACATCCAGAGAAGTAATGATCGCCATTGGGTGGACAATAAATGGAGTTGGGTTCTCACAACACTTTCATTCAACCATTCAATTGCATATCACTATATTATACAAATCAACAAATCTACTTAGAATCTATTCATTAATGAATTCATACATTTTTTAAATAGTTTTTCGATACCAGAAAAAAAATTGTGCATTAAACAACATTTAGCCAAACAAAAACGAACAAAAACTTGTTTGTTGAGAGCCATTGACTTTTAAGCCTTTCTCAATTGAATTGTTTGCTTGCTTTTTGCGTAAAATCAATTACTTCATATGGATTTTTGATTTTCATTTTTCTTAACGATTTCCAATCTGTAGTTGTAAAATTAACAATTCCAACTTCAATAGTTATGCCTTGATATTGAATCAACGGTCGATTTTCAAATCTCCAATTCGCTCCAAATCATCAATCTGTCAAATCATGAAGATGTTCTATAATATGTGTCACATGATTTGATTATTGACATTTCCTCACAACATTTGTGTTTAATCACAAACAGATCGTATTGCGAAGCATATATCTTTACAATCGAACGTCTGTCTGGTCATCTATTTTTGAGTAGAAATGTGAGTTGAAGAAAAGTATTTCACAATATTCATTCATTTTATGGACAAAAACAGTAAAAACGAACAAAACTAGTGAAGATTAAATTGAAACTTTTCAATTTTGAATGCGTGTGTTTTTTTTTCATTAGCATCAGCAGAACATCATGGCGAGCAGAAACACAGCACTAAGCATTTACAAAATTAATATTTGTTTCGATATACCAAACGTCAGTGCGCTGAATAAGGGTGGTCTTTGGTCACCTAAAGTCAAGGTCTATGATATCCCATGGAGAGTAAATGTTTGCAAGGAAGCTTGTGAAGGGGAGGAAATGCTAGGAGTTTACTTGTATTGTGAACAAGATTCTGAATTTTCAAATTGGTCATATACAGCACATGGCAAATTCAAATTGTTGTCATTCAATGGCAATCAGAATGAAAGGGAATTTGTTCTCACACCAGACGTTTTTGATAAAGAAAACCCAAGTTTTGGCTGTTCGTTCATTGAATGGCGTGATTTATTCAATGCAACCAATCAATATGTTAAAAATGATACGATCAGTTTGAAAATCAAACTCGAGGTGGCCAATCCGAATGATGAGCACAAGAGTGACTTGATTTTGGAAAACATTGACAAATGCTGCGAAAAGAGTGGTTTGGGTAAATTCCGACTAACTGTGCGCAACATCAAGAAATTGTTGGCGGTTCGATCACCATGCATCGTGTTGCGGAATATACGCTGGTTTTTAACATTCTTCAAAGAATTTGACCAGCTTAGCATCAGTTTAAATTCCTCCAACAGATCAGAAGAATTTTCGTACGACGTTCAAATGATGGTCAAATTGATTTCATCAAAATCTTCGGTAAAACCAATTGAACAGATTCAGGTTAAAGAAATGAACAAAGGTGACTGTTTTGAGGTGGAACAACTCATTTCATGGGACGAGCTTTTGAAATCTCAAAATGGTTTTGTGAACAACAATTCGATTGTCATCGAAATTGAATTGAAAGTGAACAAGCCTGGTAGTGTTGCTTCAAACTCACAAAAGCGCACCGTGTCTGGTCCATTGAATGAAGCAAAGCAACGGAAGATGGAATGTGCGATTTGTTTCAAGGGATTTGGAACGCAAGATGTCTCCATGACCAATTGTGGCCATCTGTTTTGCTCCAAATGCATCCAGGACGAAATAGCACGGAGCAAAGTATGCCCGACTTGCAGAACCGGCGCTTCCTTGGGTCAACTGAAACGTGCACATTTACCATTGTGAGTTTAATTTTGTGGATTATTTTCGATATTGAACAAAATTAAGTTCATTTTTGTTTTGCAGTGTGAATTAGCTGAATTTACCGCTCAAAAGATAAATCGAAGCAGTGCGTGCCCACAAATCGAATCATGAGACACCCAATCAAAATATCTTCAACTGAATTCAACCTATGGATTTAAGTGATTCAATTAAGTTAGTTATTAAACACAGTCGAATGACTGTGGTTTTTGTTTTGTGGTTTAAGCTAGTTATCTTAAAATGAAAATCCTTTCGTTTGGCTTGTAAAACCGTTTTAGCCTTCCAGTCAGCAGTCGATTTAGTACAAACTGTTGTGCGTAAGTTTGCACCATTCGAACTCAGTCGACTATAGATTCGTTTTGCCACACATTTGTATGCAAATCGAAGAAAATCGCGGACGTATTTCGTTGATCATTTCTGTTTTTGTGATAACTTCGTTTGCTCTTATGTTATTCTAAAGCAAGAAGACTTCTTGCAATTTTCTGATAAAATAAAAATTTGAATTGAAATCGGTAAATGCCCTTGTTTTTCATACCATATCTACTTTTGGAACTAACCGAAATTTCGAATTCTGGTTGACAAGTTAGAACATAAGCAAAGCCAACTTCATGTCTTTTGTCAACGCAGCATCAGATTTTTATTGCGTCGCATCAATTTGGTTAAACCGCTTAGTCAGCATTGACAAAACACACAACGAACGGTAAGAATTATAGAATTTTCTTCAATTTTGCAATGAAAATAGCCCATAAACGTCGTTTATTCGTTCTTTGACGGCAGTAAAATCGCATTTTGATTAAATTGATCACGCATCAGTGGATTCAGAACAGTTCAGAGCACCTGAAACACGAAGCATCAGACCAATCGAACAGCGAATGGATTGCAACATGAATCGTAATTCAAACACAGCAGCCGACGACACCCAAATGGAAATTGGTGATGCTCCAAACGTCGTGAATCCTTCGTCTGAGGACGATGTCGATCCCCATCTCAAACGAGAAACTGCTTGCGACGCCGAAGCTCAAAATCCACAGGACACAACGAATGTTGCAACACCTGAGCCACTTTTCAAAGGCGACATTGTTTGTTTCCAAGAGGTCTTCGAGTGGCTTTCGTTGAAAGACATACATGCGGTGGGACAAACGTGTAAGCGGTTGCAGGCGATTGCTGGCGATTTCTTCAAATGTTATCTGCCGGCAGCGAAGATTGGATGTGTACGTCGTGGACTGGTTTTGGGTGGTTCAGGTCATTCAGCGGACGGTTTTCGTCCCTTTGTCCAAAAACTGGATGTTTGGAACAGTCACAAACAAACACTCCGGCACATTGCATCGATGAAAGGTGAGCAGCTCAAGGAAATTACATTCAGTGGTAGCGATAATGATGAGATAACAAGAGCCGGCATGAATTTCATCAAAGAGACTCTCAACACCATCGAAGCCGTCAACTTGCACGGATGGGAAGTCAATGATGAATTTTATAACTGCCTTTTACAGTTTTGTCCGAACCTGAAGCATCTCATCGTTCATAGTTATACCGTGGCCGGGATACCCTGGATTGGAATATGTGACGAATGGTTTGCCCGAGAATATCCAAATCTCGTGCATGTCGATTTGTACCCAGGTGAGAGCTCCAAAATGCTAATACCAGAGGTGAAGACATTTTTCGAGCGAAACTCTCAAATCAAGAAACTCTCAGTTGACCTGATCGGCCTTTGGTACCAAAAAGAGGCTCTTTTGAAGAGCAAAATCCAACTGGATAACTTGGTCATTACGATTTTGAGCGATTTGTGGTTCGATTCAGATGAGAAACGCAAAAACGAAGAGAATGAAAGAAAGAAACATGCCTTTGATCTACTCCATCAACTTCACGAACAAGGTTTCTACAAACAATTGCGTGTACGTCAATCCTACTCATTGGATGAACGCGTTGTCGCATTACCAGGACTTGAAATGTTGACAATCCACAATGTCGATCCATCCAAGAATTCAGGTCCATTGACGCACGTCAAAGAATTGACTCTTGAATTATGTCAGTTCAAATCTGTCGACGAATTGTACAACTTCGTTAGCAATCTCCCGAATCTTGAACGACTCTATTTGCATTTTGGGTACAATACACCTAAATTCAACTATGTTCTCCCGTTCCTTCAACATTGTCCAAAACTGAACAATATGAACATCAAAGAAGACAACGTTGCCCTCGATTTGTCTACATGGAACAAAGAACGAGCAAAACTGGCGGATGCACGAAAAGTGACAATTTTCGTCTATGAACGCGGTTTCCTGGCAGCAAAATGGTCAAACGCAACGATGGACTTGGAGTTCATCGAGATTCGACGGGCCGATTCATAGGAATGGATTGACTATGGTTATTTGGAGTTGGATTGAGTGGAAAAAACTCAAAGAAAGTCTTCAGTCAAAACGATTGGACGCATACTGAGAAAGCAATTGACTGGAATTCATCATAATTCAGCCCAAACGAAAATAAAGCCAAGAAATTTTGATTAGCTTTTTAATCGTATTCAGAATCATAAGCAAAGTATTACAACATTCACCTTAGTTTAGCTATTACTTGTAGTTAAGATTATATTCGATAGATTTCGAAAACGTTTAAAAATAAGATGACAAAAATTAACAATACCATTCCCTACATTTGCAAAAATAATTTTCACAAACATTGGAATTTAACGAAAGTAGAATACACATCCTGTGTTAAGCGAAAATTAAAAAAAAATCAATAAATTAATGAATACCAATAGTCATGTGTGGTTTTTTTAAAGTTGCATTGTTTAGGTGAGTAATGCATTCTTTTCCGGATTATCCTGAACTCATCATCAACCTAATAGTGTCATATGATGATTTCAAGCATATATCGATAATCAATTCTATAATTGATTGATTGTATTATGCATTTTACGATCTCTGAACAGAAAGGAAGATTTTTATTTACTTTTGACATGATCTGGGATTTGATATTGGCTTCCAGTCGGCGATCAGACAGCTTAACTAGTGTAAAGGTAAGATCGCAACATTCTGATTTATTTGTATGCAAATTGGCGCAAAACCCAATTAAGCATTGAAATATTGCAGTATTTCGTGATTATTTCAATTGTGTTTGTGTGTGTTTTTCTAAACTATTGAGCTCGTTACAATACAATTAAATAATCTTTTGAATTTGGACAAAATAATAAAATAGGATTATTTTTCAAATTCTTCCAACGAAAAATTTGAATTCAGGTTAACAAGTCGATACGACAACGGAGCTAACTTCATGTCTTTTGTCATCACATCAGTAAAATTGTATTGCATTGTTTCAAGTTGAAACTAAACAGCATTGACAGGATAAACAACACTTCAGAATTTGCTTCAATTTTGTTATAAAAACCGCTTAAAATCTTCGTTAATTCATTATTTATTGGCATCAAAATCAACTTTTGCTTCAAGGAAACTGAACAGTGAATTAATTACACGATGAGTCGTAATCCGACTACTGGAGCGGAGGACAGCCAAAGAGATGTTTGTTTGTCATCAAATGTCATGAATCAATCTCACTCTGAGGATGATGTTGATAGAAATCAAAAACGGGGTACTGATTTGAACGTCGACGAACAAAGCCAGAAGCACACATCAAATGGTTCGATATCTCCACCAATTTTCGAAGGCGACGTTATTGGTTTCCATGAAATATTCGAATGGCTTTCGTTGGAAGACATACACTCAGTCGGACAAACGTGCAAGCGATTGCAAGCGATTGCTGGCGACTTTTTCAGAACTTATCTACAAGCAGCTAATTTGGTTTGCTGCAACGAGGGAATTCGAATTATTCCAGGTGGTTTGCTGAATGGCTTCAGTGCAGTGGCCCAGAAAGTAGCCATTGAGGGAGATGATTCTGAATCGTATCGTTACATTCAATCCAACTGCAAATCGCTGAAACGAATCGACTTCCGAGAAGCTGTAATAACCGCAAGTAGAGCCAAGCAAATCGCATCGATTCTCAACAAAGTCGAAATCATCCAATTGACCAACTGTCAAATCAAAGGCGACTTCTACAATTGCTTCCTGAAATTTTGCTCAAAGCTTAAGCATTTGATTGTGGATGATGAAAAGCCGGAAAACATTTTGATTGGAACTGATAATCTGTGGCTAAATCGAAACTATCCGAAGCTTAAGCATGTGGAATTGAATGTCCTTTTCTATTCCAAAATGAACGAAATACCTGAGTTCACCACATTTTTCAAATGTAATCCACAGATTCAAAGCTTTGCAACTGACCTTAATGGTCTTCTTCACCTGCGACATGCTCTCAAGCAGAGCCAAATTCAATTGCGCAATTTAGCAGTTGCATTCGATGAATTTTGTTCGACGGTCGATGAGGATGCGGCCATCTTTCTACTGGGTGAGCTCCACGATCAACGCACCTTCAATCGTTTGCACATTTATGACAATCGCCCACAAGACTATGGACCAGTATTGCCAGTGCGCATATTGGAAAAGATGCTCCTCAGATGCTACAATCTGTGCAACATAATCACTGACTTGAGTCTGAAAGAATTTGATCCAGCCGAACTGTCATCGGGTACGCGAATCACCGATGTTAAAATGATTGTGGAAAGTCTATTGTGTCTCGAACGGCTTAATATTTTCTGGATTGGTTTCAACGATATCTTATCATTCGTTCAACGTTCAGTCGATTTGAAGGTGATTGCAATCAAATACTTCGATGGAGATACTGTCGATCTGCCAACATTGAACGAGGCACGTGGAAAGCTGTTTGGAGCTGAAAGGGTTACCATTTATGTGGGAGAAAAAGTTTTCCTGGCAACGAAATGGGCCAGCAAAACAATCAACTTGGAATTTATAGAATTGAGACGAATCGACACTTATGAATGGGTTCATTACCTGAAATCACCGGTTTTGTAATTAGCTTTGCAACATTTCTACAATGACAAAACGAATTACTTGAATATTTTATAATGTGAAGCAGATCATATGCACATGAACTTTGCGTTCAATCGCTTTCGTAGAAATATTGCGGTCATCACATTAATTATCTGTTATATTCAACTTATCATTCAAATAAAATCAAACCAAAATATTATTTTCATGAGCAAAAAAAACGAAGTTTTGTTTACTTTTGAATGATTTGGGAAATTGTTAATAGCTTCTTGTCGGCGATGAGGCAGCTGAATCAGTGTAAAGGTTTGTTCATAGGTTTGTTGCAACATTCTAACCTAATTTATTTTTATGCAAATCGGTGGAAAAAATGCTGTTTTTTCGTTATTACATCAATTGTCTTTGCTTTTTAGAATAAATGAGAATTTTCTGATTATTTAAATTTTTTGATTGAACTTAAAAATATACCGTTTTTTATACTAATTCGAATTCAAAAGCTCTCCTGGCGAAAATTTCGAATTTTCAATTTCGAACCGACGGGCCGATTCATACGAATGGATTAACTATATTTTTTTCGATATGCATTGATAAGAAAAACTGACAAAGGTTATCAGTCAAAACGGTTCGACGCATACTGAGAAAGCAATCAACTGGAATTCATCGTAATTCAGCCCAAACGAGAATAAACCCATCAATGTGGATTTGTTTTTTATACGTAATGATAAGGAAATTATTACAAATTTCACTTCAGTTTAGCTATTATTTGTAGTTTAAGATTGTATTCGATAGATTTCGAAAACGTTGAAAAATAGGATGAAGAACGTTACCGGCAAAATAACTTTGACCAAATTTATAAAGTATTACACATCTTGTGCTAAAAGGAAAATTGAAATAAGTCAATAAATCTATAAATATCAATAGTCATTGGCGTTTTAGTTGATGTCGTTTTTTTAAGTGGCCTTTTTTAGATGAGTAAAGCATTCTTTTCCGTATTATCATGAACTAATCATCAACCTCATATTGTGGTGATATGATTTCACGCATACTTCGATAATCAATCATGGGATGCATTTTGCGATCTCTGAACAGAAAAGAAGATTTTTGTTTATTTTTGTGATTTGGAATTTGATATTAGCTCCCAGTTTGCGATCAGGTATCTCAATTAGTGAAAAGGTAAGTTCACAATATTCTGATTTATGCAAATTGGCGAAAAACCAATTGGGCAATGATTGAAATATTGCAGTATTTTGCGACTATTTCAATTGTTTTTGTTTGTTTCTTTCTAAACCATTGAACTTGCTACAAAACAATTTAATAATAAGTTGAATTTGGACAAAACGCAACTTGCGTGAAAATATCCTTTTGTTTGAAAAAATTGGAATAACATCGCTCGGTTATGAGTTAAGGAAAAAGAGATTTAGTTCGTTTATACCATATGAACTCATACGTTGTCTACTTTCATAGTGAAGCGGTTTTCCGAATGCAAATGAAATGTGCTACTTACCCAAAAATAGGTCAGCAATATTAGGTCGTCTCTTCATTTTATATCTTACCTTTTCAGCGCTATCTCAATTGCGAAATCAGAAGAATTTCATGAATGGAAATACCGAGACATTTTTTGGTTTGAAAACCGGCTACAGAAAATGTATTCAAGATTTTTGTTTTGTGTATTGAGTTATTAGTATGTCATTTGCCTTGTGGCTGGATAGAGGAATCAAAAGTAATTGAATCGTTTTTAAAACTATTTGAATATTTGTTTCCGATTTTCTCAGTATGGTTTTCGTTTAAATTTTTATAATATTCATTTAATTACATCGCTTTTCAAAAGTTATTCTATTCGCATATAAATCATGACAAACATTTACTTAAGCAAGATCGGTATTGAATGATAAATCCACTTAAAATGGCATTTCATAGAGTATGCGTTGTCAACGTTCGATGAAAAAAGGCTTCAGCCCAACCTAAGTTGAAGGCTCGATGGAATGTTCACTTTCAACTGGCTCAGTCTTAATCGCTACTGGCTTTGGCATTGGATGAGTTGATTTTGTGTATGCAGCTCTTCTGGAACGGGTGATTGAACCGCTACAGGCTTTGGTTGAAGCGTTTTTTCGACTACAAGCCGGAACCCAGTCCGAGTCAGAATCCGATTCTAAATCAAACAAGGAAGTTCTGTCACGTGAGCGTGAACGTGAATGTTGCTGTTGTTGTTTTTGATGTGCGTCAATCATAGATGCCCCGTCATTTGCTGAAAAGAATAATACAAAAAACGAACGTTACGTACAAAAAAACGAAGTAAATAAAATAGAGACGCACTTCGTTTTTCCATCCTGTTGTTCATTTCATGAACTGAATCCATTGATCCTCCATTATTGGTACTTGTATCCGCTTCGTTCACCATTTCATGCGTTCCATCCTTTGCTGCCTGATTATTAGTATCCGAAACAGCTGCGCGATTTTCACCGTTTTCACTATTTTCATCCGTGGAATCATTTTCTGCTGCATCGTTCAGCTGAACGTTGTGCATACGTTTCATGTGTCTGTCTCGGTTTCCACGTGAGGCAAACAGTTTGTGGCATGTTTTACAAGTCCTGTTATTGATTTCAGCCAGTTGCACCGCTGGTGCTGCTTGAGCAGCGAGTAGATTTCGCATAGCTATCCCAAGATCGTCGGGATTATCAACCGACAAATTGAACGACGCCGTAATTCTTTCTTTAGCCATTGTACGGCACCAAACCTCCTGGAGAAAACTTTTTTAAAAAAAAGAATATATCAAAATTGTTCCTATTTCAGAGAAAAAGAATGTCACTATCGAAATATCAAAGGGATATTGCAACTTTTTGACCAGAAAAAACACCATCTTACGTCGTGCCCGTAAATTATTTTACTGTACATTTAGATGGTAGAGCTTGAACAAAAGTTCGACACTATAATAAATAAACTTGGAAAGAGCTTGATAAACTTGATGAAATACATATATTTTATGGTCGCTGCAATACCCCTATGCGAAATATTGCACCAAAAAGTTCAAGTTGAAAACTTTGCATTGTAAACACTATGTAAAACTTCGCTTGCCTTTTGAATATTGTCGAATTCTCCACTGTGAATCGCCGACCAAAAACCAACCGCTTTGAAAGAATGCAAAACTCCGTTTGAATTGGCTGTGGATTTTCGCATTGTTCAGCTATGGAACATACATCAATACACTCTCAAAAGATCAATTCAATATGATCGACTTACCGAATACTTTCTTTCTTCATCGTATTGATCGAAAGTATTTCCATAATGTGTGTCTGCTATGTGTTGTTTTGAAAATGCTTATGTGTTGTTCTCAATACTAACACATTTTGCGTTTCATCATCGAACCATCTCTTTCTAGCCACCAATACTAGTGAATGAGTGAATGGTCCATTAAGTAAATATTCCCCTTTATTTCGCCATTTAGCTCAATCCAAAGTCTTTACCTACTGCATGTGTTAGATACCTATTTCAATGGTCATAATCTGTTTGATTTATGGCTTGATTGTTTACTTATTTCAATACACCATTAGTGGAATTATAATTATTATTGTTATTAACAACCGTCTGAAAATGTTTCTTCCAAATCTCATATTTACTTCGCGTTGCATAGCTGAGTGTCGCCATAGTTTGAATACATGAAGCGTTAAAAAACTCTACCGTTCATATAATTACGATCAAAACATGGATAAAAGCAATTTGAAGGAAACGAGACGATTCTAAAACTCACCTTTTTCCCGTATTCATTATGAACAACATTTCAAACCTCTCACATTTGATTATTTTCTTAATGAAATGTTGATTTGCGCAGCAAACAAATTCGTTGCACTACCAATTTGGTGACACCAAAAGAACTCATAATCGAATCGGTGTGTGTAATTCTCCGGTCTGCATAAAATAGCATTCATTCTTGAGCATATTTCAGGCGACTGGCGATTATATGATTTCATATCAGCAGTTTCCAGTCGATAGACACAAACGTTACATGAGCATAATGTTATTTGGCTTTTTTGCTCATGTTGTCTCACATTGCGCACACTTTTTCCGTTGGGTCATAAATCTGCCCGATATTCAGGATCAATGAATTGCCTTTGCTCTTTCGGTGCGAGTGAGCGCATTTAAAAAGTACTTTAGTCGCGCGCGTGTGTATGCTTCTATTCTATTTATCAACCGAATTCGAAAAAAAATATGTTCATTTTATTTTTCGGTGGGACCAAAATGGTATGTGCGCTCGCAGTAGCATTTTTCTAGCCGACTCATTTCCTGCTGTTTCACATGTGGCAAAACAAAAAGTGCAAATATCTCTCGCATTCGTGCATCAAAACCAGAGAGCAAAAAGACTTTGTGCATTTTGGCAAACTTTCCAATACCATCCGAAAATGTGCGCGCAATCGAAAGTCCCTTTGTTTTCTTTTCTACTTGCTGGGCAAATTCCACGCTTCGGCAGCAAAAATGTTGTATGGAGGGTTTATGTCGCCAAAGTGCATAAGTGTTTTTATTTTTTGTTTTTCGTCATGTGTTTATGCCGATTAAATAGTTTTGCCGTAGCAAAAAGCTGAAAAATATCCGTGTGACTGCAGTGAAGCAAGCCGTTGGCTAAATGATAACAGTATGTGTATGGCAAAACGTACCATCTCGATTTGTTTTTAGTAGTGTCTCGCATTTTGGTCGTCGCTCGTTGAGAATCTAAATCGATTGTTTTGAATATATTTTTTTCCC